ACACAGCAGACATCAAATAAACAAAAAGCAGACAAATATACACATGGGTAATGGTGAAGTTGTGAGAACACAAAATACAGTCACAAAGACACAGCAGACATGAGGAGTATGTGTCTTGTTGCCCTTCAAAATGGCAGCAAAATGATTTAGACACAGGAGCATAAATAATACTCATCCGTCCAGCTGACTGCGACGGTACAGGCTATTAATCTGTTTGGTTATAATGAGAACTCCTTTTGTACAGATAGCATCAAGACTGGCATTCTGTATTTAATGAAATCATCCACCATGGACACGTGTGGGACAAATTGCAATTTAACAGCTGAGAGGAGACATTAGCTTATTATGCATTAGTGTTAAAATGATTCTTTAAAAACATAATCTGTACCGGCTTGATTTAACTGAATCATTGTGATTCGATTTGCCTTATTACATTCAATGTCCTCAATTGAAGTTCTGATGTGTTTATTATTAAGTGTATCAAAATATACAAAACCCTGTGTTTGCAAGTGTTTGCAATAATCACTGAATCAGTCGTGAGTATAAAAACTGTGGTTCTCAGTTTTTCAGGACTCAGGACCGCCCTGGATTTCACTCCAGGCTTAACAATCAGGGACTCATTTGCATAGGCAAGGTAAATGCAAGTCAAGTAGATGGTAAGACAGAAAAACAGAAGGGGAGGAGGTGCTTGGGATTGTCCCAGTTTCAAGCTGGGTGTCCCAAGTTCTGACAAACACTAAATTGTCCTGGTTTTACCACAATTAAAACAATAATTCGAATTTTATACTTGTTTTCAGCGCTTGCACGTTTGTCATGTTCTGTCCCATCAATGAAATACCTAACCCAATATGAAAACATAAACAATGCACCACATGTCTGAATTTAACACTGTATGTGTGTGTGTCAACCACCTGCTTGCTAGCAGCTAGCTGTCATGCTACATGAAGAAAAAGTTGGTCTTTTCCAAAGTAAACTGTGAAACTGTTGGCTCACATTTTTGCAGGCAAACACTTCATGTTTTGCCAACCCTGCTTAGGAAGTTGGACTCCACTTTCCTGTATTTAATAAGATCTTGGCTTTTTATTTAGCTGATTGTTTTTATTATCTAAAAGGTTGGGACTAGAGGGAGGATTTGCAATGACCTCGTTCAGTTTTGCTGTGTCTAGGAATTCTCTTGAGAGCCATTCTGGGAAGGCTTGAGTTGGCCTTTGTTGTGGCCAGATGGTGACAGGGACATGATAATTTTGTGAGTGTGTTTTCGTATATTTGCACACATACTCAGTTTCCATTTTCGTGTGTTTCCCTAGTTGAATCTGTGACTGTAGTTTGATGGTTTAAAAACCTTCCAAGGGAAGTGGGTGCCGTTAAGATAACCTGTGAGAATGTGCTGAGCTGGGCTGGATGTTCTGCAGGAAGGAAAGTGCGGTGATCCACAAGCAGGAACTCAGATTCTGTCAAGTTATTACACCCCTGCACACACACACACACACACACACACACACACACACACACACACACACACACAAACGCACAAACGCACACACGCACACACACTAACCCCCCAAACTGCCATCTGTATTTCTGCTTTAGTCAGGCCTTTCCTTGACCAAAAACACACACTAGTACTAACACACACACAGGAAACGGCCCGTGTGGCTCCCAAATAAGCTGATGTGTCATGCCTTCCTTTCCAATATTTCTGCAAAAGCTCAGGAAGGAGGGCTGCAGCACCTCTCTTCTTCTTCCTCTTCTTCGCCCCGTGTCTCAGTGACACACAGCTGTGGCCGTGATAGTTCTTTTGTCTTCTATAAGAATTTGCAGCTCCTGCGGTGGGAGACGCTGCCACTCTGGGAGCCATGAGTCGTTGTTGTGTGGTCAAAGTGATCACCCTGACAGAGATCCAGCTTCTACAGGTAGGGGGAGCGACTCAGCTACACAGGCCAGGGAAATCGGAGCACAGATAGATAGATGGATGGATATAGAATAAGGCATATGTGTGTAACTGTGTGTGCATTTGTTTGTGTTTGCATGCAAATTGTCTGTGCTTTGTAAAAGGCATGCACCTACAACCAGAATAACTGAATAGCCACCGTGGAATGCAAACTTTGTGATCAGTTTGCTATCCCAGTCTTATCTTCCCTCACATTTCGCAATCTAGGGTGTGTGGTCACAGCTATTTACTGGTTAGCAGGCTCAGCAAAAATAAAGTAAGCTTGTCTGAGAAGCCTTTTTGTTCCACTTTCATCTTATCTCTGTAGATTCAAGATGGGAAAAAAGATAATTGAGCATTGCTCCTCTGCATTCCCTAACTGTGTCAATATGTTGTAAAAAATACAGATTTTTGCAGAAATGAATCCAAACCTCCTACTAGGTTTTGCCCATAATTTGTACAGCTAAGTTAATGTCACCATCACCCAGTGTTTCATAAGTTCTTGGATTTTTCTGAAGTGAAAGGAGAACTTGAGCAATACTGAAACTGAGTTAGGCAAGAGGTTTTCATTTAGGAGAAACACCTGTGAGTTTGTCTGTTACAATGGCATTGTGAGTGCAGCATTTCTCAGTGGGACTAAAGAAATACACCTTTTAACTTGGAGGTAAATCACATCACTATTAAATACATCTCACAAATTGGGGCTCAAGAAATCATGATTTGAGAGAACACATTAAACTGGATTTAGCACTGAGGGTTTGTGTCTGTAAAAGTTGCTTTTTTTATCTTTTAGTCCAGAATTTGTGGTTTTAATTATACATGTGTATACATATGTGGGATATGGCTGTTATTTTCTCTTGAGGGGCATTGCTGCGACATGCTTTATAGTTGCAATCCTGAGTACTTGCTTGCATGAATCAGATACATATTCTATATAACAGCTGGAAAAAACGTGTGTGATGCGACTTCACAGGAGGGCATAGTAGAGTATTTGTTGTATTTGATTAAGCTGCTACATGCATGTTAAAACCAGTGCAAGTACTCAAATGATGTTAGTGAAAGAGTTAGGAGAGGTTTAATTGAGAAAGAAAGAGAGAAATGGGTTGTGTGTGTGTGTGTGTGTGTGTGTGTGTGTGTGTGTGTGTGTGGAACGAGGGAGTTGTCTGCTTCTGACATCTTTATTTGAGTGGTCTAAATGTCTCTAATGAAGATAATGAAGTTAAAGGGAGATGTAGCTGATTTCCTAATGTTCTTTCAGCAGGACGCAGGAAGCACGAATGCAAACCGGACAAATATTATTTTATTATTAAAACGTTACGAAACGTGATAAACTGTGCTGAAAGAAACTGGAGAGATATATTAAAATGTTGTTGCATCAAACAGTGGCCGTATGCAAAACTGTCGGGAGCTGCGTACAAAGGCAGAAATCAAATGCAGTGACTGATATCATTGCTTTGATATCAGTAAAATGTGGATTTTAGCCCAACATAATCTGCTATAGGTTTGCACGACAGGAATAACTGTGCAAATGAGTGTAGATGGAAAGTGAACCTGTGACCTCTTCTCTACAAGTAACCACAAACAGGGCCTCAATTGTTTAGCAGGTGCAAGTAGCCGTATTGAGAAAAACTGAAGTGTGTCAAACTTCAGAATACTCACTACAATCCCAAACTTGAGCCATGATTGATTAGATTCTTATCTCATTCCTGTCCCTATGTGTATGGCGGACATTGATAATTTTCAGCATGTCCTCTTCACACATGCACAGGCCTGCCATTGTCAAGGTTGGCCTCAGTGACTGAAGCACCATTACTTCTCAAATCTAATCAGATTCCCTTAAGTGGATAACAAGCGTGTCTCCGGCATTTACAGTAGTGAGAAAGCTGAAGTGAAACCAGGACAAACTGTTGTCACACAAAGCAGATGTGGTGTGTAGCAGTACTGGCATCCCTCTTGCTATCCGTAGTGGAAAAAAATGTTGATTGGCTAACAACTGGCATCTTGTTTGGCCTGGAGAAGTCAGATAAGAGCTCTCAGTCACTACTGACAAGTTGAGTATTGTAATGAGCCTGTTCTTAGTTAGGTGAATAAGGGCAGCTAGTTTAGCTGACTAAGAGAATTTAATGCTGAGTTTTAGTATAAAGTTTTATTCCGGAGTTGCCATCACTAAAAGTACCAATCACTATTTAGCAATGTTGTGCTAGTTAACATTTAACCCATAAAAACTGTGGTTGTTACTAGAAGTCTGAAAACATGGGCTACTTACTGGCAAGCTACTCATTTAAAAATTTCTAGCAATTCTTCCTGTGAGATAACTGTCACTCGCTAAAGTTGGCCTTCCTTTTGATGCTTTATTATGTGTGATTTCACTTGATAAATGACACTTGTATAGTAATGTACTTTAAAAATGGCATGAGGGGGGAAAGAATGAAAAAATAAATTCCTCTTTCATATCACAAAATCCAAACAGCTCTTTCTATAGCCAGTGTCTGGTTCGTCCCTTCAAGGCTAAACTAAAGGTAACAAAAACATAAGTCTTATTTCAGATGGTTATACACTAAAGAAAACATATCTATGAATATTATATTACATTTCTGCCAATAGATCTTCCTAAATGTTACACACTGGACCTTTAAGTCACACTGCATAGTGTACCAAATCTGCTTAAGCACTACACCAGCATTTTTGTTTATCTGACTTTCTTCTACTTCAAATTGATTTCCTGAGGTCATGGAAAAAAGTATCCATGTAGTTTAAAAAAAAAAGAAAGAAAAAGAATTCAGGCAAGACTATATAGCACACGATTTTGACCAGTGAATAGAATACTATTATGAGGAAGTACAAAAAAATCTAGGTAAAAGAGTCAAGATGACCATCAACTGACAAGAGAGACTAATATTATAATACCACTGTTAACAATACAAGTATTATTATTAAATTCTCTACAGACCATGAACAAGCACATTACAACAGTGAGCTTCTTTGTGAGCTCCAGACCAGTAAGTAAACTAGACGTTTTAACATACGATGTTCCCTCTAAAAATAGCGTACTGTAATAAATACCTCAAAATAGCTTTATTGCAGTTATTGTTTGGGAAAATGATGACACCAAACTGTCTGCATTCAAACCAGTACATGAATGAAAAGGCTTGGTTAAAAATGGCATTAGAGGAGTTATTTAAAATCCCCATTGGGGAACAAGGGTCAATTGTGCTGCCACAACCCCTGGAGCCGGCAGCAAAGGACTTTGGGAGCTGACCACTGATTGGTCAGTCAGACAGAAAAGGGCGGTCCGAATGAATTAGTGATAGACGCTAAAGGCAGACATCCTGCAGTGATCAAACCCTGGGTGATCTGACAGTCCACCGTTTGAAGTGATTATCATGCTATGCAACAAAAAGGCTTACCCCCAGTTTTGGGCCTAATTAGCTTACTTAGGGCCCTTTAAAAGACATTGGTAGGGGACTGGAAAGTACAGACACTTACTGAGAAGTCAGCAGAGCAACAGGATACCAGCTGCAGCAGACCTGGATCTCTAAAGTTGACCTGTTGCTATACCAAAACAAACCAATCTGAAGATTATATGCGTTTCTGAGAATGCCACACTTAACCGACTGCAGTTACTACACGATGCGGGACGCAACCAGAGCTTCAAATGTAAGGATATCTAAATTTAGAAAATTCTGAACTACTTGGTAAAATGTTTTGTTGAACAGTGTTATTATGTTTTCTAAAATAACACATTGGTAATTTTTTTATTACTAGTTTGGCAATCTTGAATGCTGGCAATATATAATATATTGTGTTATTGCAGATTAGGGTACGAAAGTAACAAAATGCTATGTATTTAGTTTGTCAATTTGTGTTCAGTTCTGAGGAAAAAGGCTTTTGCAATTAATCACATTTATCATCAAGAAACTGGGAGTGAATTTAGAGAATATGATATGACTTTACTTGGAGAAGGGTCTTAAGAATGAGTTCTACTTCTCATAAAGACACTTGCCAAACATGACTCACTTTAATATGAGTGTTAACTTTAAGTTCTACAAAATATAGCACTGCTGTAAGTCTGTAAGTTTGCTCCGTGACTAATGATAGGAAAATCCTGAGTCGCATTCTGTGTGTTGAATCAGATCATCTTTTTCGCAAAGCTGCTGTGAACTCAACTTGTAAAAATGTTGTTAGTCAGCACTGTTTCAGTGGTTTGAGAGAAAATGTGCACTCTCCAACCTCCTACTTAACTGAATTGTGTATGATTTGTTTTTGCTGCAGGTACACAGCCACCTGGAGAACTCCAAGTTCCACCTCCACCAGACCCAGAACCAGCAGGTCAAGCAGTATCTGACACTGGGCACAAAGCTGGCCTCTTCGGCCGGGCAGGGCCACTCTGTTTCGCATCCACATACCCCCGGTCAGCCGCTGGCCACCTTGCCAATCATGAGGAATGGACACATGCCATCTGTCAGCGACGGCAGCAACCCCAACAGCCCTGTTACCCTGCTCACTATGGCCAACCACGACAGCGAGGTGAGTGGAGTTAAGGAAAAAGAAAGCGAAATAAGAAATTAAGATGTTGCTGAATATATGGAACTGAAATTGAGAGAACTCAAAATGTGCCTACTAGTGACAGGAAAAGAGTTAAATTGCAACAAAAAATTTGAACCACAGACTGGGTCACATACGGACGTACTGTGGGTCATAATTTTTGTAGATTTCGCAACATTCTTGAGACGTTTTCCTGTCAACACTTCACATTCTTGTCAAAAGAAATAATTAGTTCTGTGTCCACTGTTTATGTTAATTATAAGAATTTGTTCTTAGTCTTGCTCTTAGTCCTTCTAAATTCTTTCATTAGGAGAGATAAATCATGGCTGACCATTTGTTTGGATAGACAGTCAACATGTAATATAATTCACAAGTATCAGTGACCTGTACAATTTCTATCTGGATTGGGTTTGAATCTCAGAGTAGTTCCAACTAATCATCTAAACAAAGTGATGCCATTATTGATCTCCCTCTCTCTCTCTGATGTGCTCATCAATAACTTCAGACATGTAGTCTCTGATGAGAGAACCCTTTCAAAGGAGGAAACTAGTTTGATAACAGATGCGCGTTTCTCCCGCCAACACTGCTAACTAACTTATGAATGACATGGCGGCCGAGAACTCGTCTGTTATTGGATTAGTCTCTGGACAGTCCCTCCCCTTTTTTCATGTCTATTTTGGTTTGAATGTTTCAAAAGATCAGACTTGGACAGGATTGAAATCCTGGCAATAAAAAAAGCCATCATGAGTCTGTCCCTGAATACACTGAAATTACTGTTTTCTTTTAGTTTCCAATGGATGAAGTTATTGATGACCTAATTAGTCTTGAATCCGGTTTCAATGATGGAGGCTTGGATTGCATGGACTCTAACATCCTAATGCAAAACAATGTAAGTATAAATCCCATTAACTACAGCTTCATACTAACACTGTTTAAAATGTGACAGACTATCAACAGTTTGAAGGTCTTTTGTATTGATTTCTGCAACATGTTCTTTGTTTGTTTAGTCGCTCACATTATTGCAGTTAGGTTCATGTCAAGGGAAGTTCCTTAACTAATGACCTCTTTCTTTTTAAGTTGAATGGGGACTTTGAAAGTGGGGTTCCTCCATCCAAACATTTAGGCACAGGCTTGACTAGCTTGGGAAAAAGGGGACCTGTGTTAGTTTGAGGTCAGCTTAAGTCTAGAGATGAGTCAAAGTTCATTAGGGCTTAGGAACATTTCTCACACTACTAACGAAGATCAACATTGCAGATTAAGTTAAAAAAGAAGGACGTTTTTTGGAGAAAAGTATATAATTAATGACAATATGACAATAGAAGAAGCAACATTTATAGTAACTGTCTTACTAAGTTCATTCTTGGGACGCCAACCAACTAGAAATTGCAGCACAGACAAGCAGGAATTCAAAAACTCTGAGCAAAAATCTGGGACAAGGGGTCCATTTGGCCAGAGAACATAGCAGCACCTGAACCAAATACAGAGAGAGTTTGTGGGATGGGAACACTGGGAATCTGACCTAACTCCTGAAATACAGAGAGACCCAGAATGGCAGACAAAGAATCATACACACAGATAACGGAGAAAAACACTACAGATACTGTGACAGAGAAGGAATGAGAGTAAGGAGGCAGAGATAAGGCGTGAGGGGTGGGGGGGAGAAGACGGGGAATGGGAGAGCCAGTAGGTTTTTAAATGAGGACAGAAGCGCGACAGAGGAGCGAGGAGTTAGATATTTTGTTGGAGAGAGTTACTGAGCCATTGGATTGGGCTAATGCATACACTCCCCATGGGCTTGTTCAGAAATGATACCATGCTTAAATGGATCAATTCATCCTAATTAGTCATACAGTACGATGCATCACGCCGTTTCGCCGTGTCAACACATCCAGGAACACAGACGGGAGAGGGATTGAAGTGATTACAATAGGAGTAGTAGGGGAATTGTTGCAATCTTTCATTTTGATAAGCACTTTTGTCCCCTCCTCCTCCTCCTCCTCCTCCTCTTCTCCCATCTTGTTGAGATAATGAGAAAAAAAACGCACATGCAAACCAAACCGACTGCAGATATCTGAAATGTCTGCAGTTTCTTCTGTTTTGTTTCTTCTCTTTTTTTCCCCTCTTGCTTTCCATTCCTTCCCATCTCTTGACTTGACATGCAGCCTTATCACATTCACCAGTCTCGTAGTTAGATTTGACACACTTGTCGCAGATAAAATTGGCTGTGCGCATCTTGGAATGCATGGTGGCTTCTGTAGCATTTCCCCATAAATGCACAAATGCGAATTAGACACACATGTGTGTCAGCACGCTATATCTTCACATCTCCCCAGTCCGTGAAAAGACGTCTTATCACAGAACTGATGCATGCTTTCCCAGACAACAAGAGACCCGTAGGAAAACAGTTTTGCCTCTGTTCAAGCAGTTGACCTAGCTAGCCTTTTCATCTAATGTGATGCTATTTTCAACACAGAGCGCATCTTTGTGTAAGGAGCACTTTCAAGTGGAGGGGTTTTGAAAATGGTGGCATTAGCAGATCAAGGCACTATGGCCGGTCAAACCAAACCTCAGAGGGCTGCAAGCCTGGGTTGGAGGTCAGGGTTAGGGTCAGCTGGAGTAAAAGCTGTAGGACGACCCTTTGTTGACAGCAAGGTTATGTTCTTGTTAAGTCGTTTTTTGCTCTTTGTAATACAAAATGAGCAGGCAGACTGAACATGGCAACCATTCATGACCACAGCGCTGCCCTGTCCTGCTTAGGGAGACGTGGATACTACAACTCCCTGCTGGGAAGTCCAAAGCCAGAGGCCTGGGGGCTGACAACCTTTTTCTGCCACTCTCTGATCACTCCACTCGCCTCTTTAGTCAATGCTAAACAAAGCCACACAACAGTTTAAAACAACTATTTGTGTTGTGGCTTTTGTTAAAGTGTGAAAGGCGCGTGTGAAATACAATTGCTTGCTTCTCCTGTGACTTACCATATTTCTTTCTTTCTCTCCCCCTCCTCTCTCTCCCTCCTAGGTGTCCCTCAGTGGCAGCATGCTGGACGTCTATGGGGGTGAACAAGGTATGAACGCCCCTAATGGTGGAATGAGCCCCACATCTAACCCCACAAAGCTCACTGTTAAAAGGGAATACACAGGTATGAACTCATACCATAGTACTGATCAAACAATTAACCAAGTAATGAATTATTACAATTCTCACATTGCTGTAAAAGTTACAATTCCACACATTCTGGTTGTTAAGACATTTTAGGGAATTATAACAAAAGATAATTCATATTTCTCTTTAAAACTTCTTAACTAAAGCTCTGGGTGGGTGCTAATAAAGACAGAGTGTACCTGCATTAGCTAAAAAGGGCAACTTCTTGTGTGTGTGTGTCTGTTCCAGCCAAAACTGAGTCCAATTATGTGTGTCAGGCAAAATAACAGACAAATGTGTAAGCTGATTTGTGTCCAGTGTTTGACAAACACTATCCTGCTTGTGTTCTGTTAATAGACCGTAGAAACGTGTAGACTTTTCGTCACAGTACAAAAAAAAAAAAAAACAAAGGGCCCTTTAAGACATTTATTAATGTCATGCATCAAGCAAAGAAGCCTAATTGATTTAGGAAACAGAAAGTATGCCTGAAGAACCCTTCACTCTCAACGGGCAAATAAGTAAATTGCCATCTGTTTCATTTGAGTGTGGGCAGAGAGGACAATGGGCTGTTACACAGAGTTTAAATTGTCTTGATTGAATCAACAGAGACAAATTGGGAAATCCAATCTCAGGTCCCCAATTATGTAATTTAGAAGAATGCGAGTACAAATATGGATGCACTGGCATTTTTGTCCCTCTCCCGGAGAGATTAGTGAATTTGCTAAACTGTCTTAATTATGGAGTAAGCAATCTAAAAGTGTTCACCATTTTTTTTCCACAATGAGCTTCAGACATGCTTGAGGGGAATAAATTAGGGTCTTTCAGTGTGTGTGTGTGTGTGTGTGTGTGTGTGTAAAGAGGTCGAACTGTCTGTGGTAAGGGCTGATGAACGGAAACTCCACATTCAGGCTGACCTCACCACTGAACTCCCTCAAAACAACTGATTGTGCGTCTCCTGACTGGATCTTTTGTGGTGTTTTGTGTTCGTTGTCTTTCGGTTCCTAAATTAGTGTGCGTTACTGATCAATCCGTTCCCCTCTCTGATTTTTTTTTTCCGACAGAACTCGACACAAGAGTGATGGCCAAAGAGAGGCAGAAAAAAGACAACCATAACTTGAGTAAGTGTCTCCCTCTGCTTTTCAGCTCCCTAACAGTTTATCATCTGAAAGTAAGTTATGGCTATAGCCTTTAGAACTGCAGCTGACAATGCCCTAATCATCTCCTGCTCTTTTTTTGTTCTTGCTTAGTTGAAAGAAGACGAAGATACAACATCAACTACAGGATTAAAGAGCTGGGGACACTCATACCAAAGTCAAATGACCCGTAAGTTGCAAAATCTCAATGTATTTATTGAAACAATGCCCCTGCCTTCACCTACTTTATGTCACTGAAACAACTCCAAGACCTTGTCTGGCTAGGAAGCATATTAAATTCCAAGCACAAAGACACTCTAAACGTTGTTCATTGAATTCAAATGAGTACTCAAGCACATTTCAGTCATATTTCAAGGGTGCACTTGAACTTCCATTGTAGTCTACGCTCCAAGAAGCTGTACATCCTCTCGCTGGGTCCCAGCAGTTCAGCTCAAAGCATGAATGATGAGGAAAGGGTCAAATGCAAAGAAGCAGGCCACACCATTTGAATCAAAGTTTGAAGCACAATTGGAACATAGAGATGGAGTATGGAGCTGAATTGAAATCCACCGGCCATCTTTCGCAATTGAACTTTGCTTCAAATTTAAATGGAGGGTTAGCGTTGTCGTCGTGCCATTAACACGGGATAAAAGAGATTATTAGCGCTGATCAGACCAACGTCTCACTCGTGTGGAAAAGGACAATTTTACTGCAGCTCCCCTTTCCTTTTTAAAAAAGCAATAATATCTGCAAAAGAATGACTTGCACTCTAGCACCTCAAGTCCAATGCTCCATTTCCCCCCTCCCGTCCTCCTACTTAGCTCATTTTCCCTCACCTATTTTTACTCGAGGATTAATTTTACCGAACAAGGAGGTACGAGAATGGACTTTCCACATAGCTACTTAACTATTCTATTAAAATTCCCATTCAGTGTCCCCATGTAATGTCCAAGGATGAATAATTGTCCCATGTAAATCACCATTTCTTATTCATATCATAAAAAGAGGAAAAAACCTCTGTGTTAAAACTCCCCCCCCGTTTTTTTTATTGCGTAGGATATTCTGCCGACATCAGGGGGTTCTGTGTAAAAGGTTATCTTTAACATTTCTTCCTTCTGCAGCGACATGCGCTGGAACAAAGGCACTATCCTGAAGGCCTCTGTGGAGTACATAAAGTGGCTGCAGAAGGAGCAGCAGCACGCTCGGGAGCTGGAGAGCCGTCAGAAGAAGCTGGAGCAAGCGAACAGGAGGCTTCTGCTGAGGATCCAGGTACTAAAACAGAACAGCATAAATGTGTTTTTATGTTATATACAGTGATAAATCACAATAATATTAAGATAAAGTGACAAAAGTAGAGTTTTTGAGGAATATCGCAACTCATAAATCTATATATCTTCTGTTCAAACAAGCAAAACAGTATAATTATAATACTGATTATTCTTAAAAAGGAAATGCACCTGTACAATATGAGTTATGAGAGAGGTTAAAGAGTAAACTTGTGGCAACAAGGAAGATTAAGGCATACAAAATTGGGTGTTTATAAGCTTGGTAACAAACTATGTTAGACTTAGCTATGAGATACCTAAAATATCTTAAATATCTTGTATAGTATATAATAATACACAACCTTAGACTTCATGCATTCCTCAACACAAAAGCAGTTTTCCTCCCAATACATTTTAGTTTACTCCTTAACAAATAAGGTTGGCCAATCAACTCACTAACGCCCCACTAATGTCTTAGTCCGAGTATAGGATCCAAGTAAACCCCATTTTCACATTATTGATTTATTTAAAAACAGCCTCCTTCAGGCATCTAACAGGCCCTGTTCTATTATGCCAAAGATCAGTTTGGTAAAGACAGAGGGCTCACTCTGTCAAGTGAGTGACTCAATCATCCCTATGTACTTCACACCTCTGCTAATTTCCACCTCCAAAGCTTTACGAGCCTACAACATAAACTAATTTCCACTTTCAAAGCTTTACGACCCCAAAACGTTAGCAAGACATCCCCCACCGCCTCGCTCCCCTACTGTTGTTTACATGGGGTCTTTCCACTCTTCCTATCTCTGCTCTAAATCTTAAAGCTCAACGCTAATTACCTGATGACTGAAGACAATGACTGCAGCACTTTCAGTGAGAAAAAAAGCAGGTCAGAAATAGCACAACTTAAAGAGATACACTCATGTTGTGGTTCATTGAATTTACTTCAATGATGGGAAGAACACAAAATCTGTAATCATCTTTAAAGATGACTAAACTAACCAGGAAACACTGACCGCCAATGACGTTAAAAGAACAGTTAACAAAGGTCAAACAGGGCTTTGTGATGACCAAACAGTGCTGATCGTGTTCTCCATGATAACAGTGTGTGTAGGAGAAGAGTATGTGTCAACACCCAAATATCCCCAAGTTTCACTCCAACCTAACCACAGTATGTGGAGAAGGTGTGGTGGTGATTGTCCCAATGGTACTCCACGCTATATTGTCACAGCATATCTTCTCATATTTGAAGAAATAACTTTTTCCGGCATTCGCACATTTGTGGGAATTTATTCAGGTCTTATCTTGACCAACATGCAATGGGTGTGGAGGTAATTTTCCCAACAGCACTTTAGAAATAGATCTTTTACTCATAGTTTCTCTTCCTTTGTTTTCCAGGAGCTTGAGATCCAGGCACGAGCACATGGCCTCCCAAACATGGCTACGGCCTTGGGGACAGTTGAACTATCCTCCCATCTCCTCAAACAACAGCAACAGCAACAGCAACAACAACAACAACAACAGCAACAACAACAACAACAGCAGCACCAGCAACAGCTGTCGTCTCCCCAGGCCCAGCAACCCCAGCAGCCGCCTCTCTACCAGGAGGACCCCAACAGCGACTACCTCCAGAGGATAGTGGTGGCTGGAGTGCCATCCATCCCCACTGCCAGCGGGCCGCAGGATCACATCCCCGACGCCGACGGTTGCACCACGTTCTCCGACCCACTGTCCCACTTCACAGACTTCTTCAGTGCTACGCTCAAGGAGGAGCATCGGCTTGATGAGATCCTGATGGATGACCCGCTCTCGCCCTTTGGCACTGACCCGCTCCTCTCAGCAGGTTCACCTGGTGCTGCGTCGAAGGACAGCAGCCGCAGGAGCAGCTTCAGCTCGGCCGAGGGTGATGATCTATGAGGGTGCCCCTCTTCAGTTACACACTCTTGTTATCTCCTCGTGACAACGAGATTGTAATCCCCAGTGGTAAAGGGCATACACAGAGCCTTTAATAGACTGACTGATGGCTCTGGGCATACAATAATGACCACTCACAGGGTTGCAAGTAATCTAAATGACAGCTAACACACCTGGCAGTGCCCCTCAAAGTGCCATCTGTACATAAAGTGTGTAGTAGTTGATCAGGTGGGTGTTAGAGCTCCACGGGACTAGGAACAGCTCGAGGACCTCCTGCTCCTCCACGTGCTCTTTTTAACATCACTATAGACAATCAATATATTTCTCTGCCTCCCAGACAGAGCAGAAACAGACTCACAAAAAAAGGGAGACATTTATCGGCCTTCAAGTACATAATGTAAATAATGTCTTCTGTTTGTTTGTTTTTCGTTTTTTTGGTAAACACTGTGGTAGCTGTACACTGTAACATATGCAAAATAATCACTGTCAGAACTGTCCTTCCTTAAATGACAATACTACTGATTCACAGAAGGATTTTTTTAATAGTTGCAGTCGGGATTGTGATCATTTGATGTGCCTTATTCGAACCCCCGGTTTTGTCTTAAAAAAAACACGTAACTGATGTACTCACCGCAATGCCTACCTTAAGTGTTTCTGTTAAATAAGTGTTTGTGTATTTATATATGTTTTAATCCATGTATTCATAAAAAAGATATATATTATTATCTAACATGTTACCTTTTTTTATTCTTAGTAGGGGTGGGGAAAATATAATAAACCCCTTTTTTGATATACCTGATTTTGGCTTCTTGTTGTCATCTCACAGAAGACATTTACTCGAGGTCTTCATTCATGCACCCTCAAACAATACAACTAACTTTGACAACATTTCTATTGCTAAATGCTACATTAGCTCTAAAAAATTTGCCTTAATGACAGACTTATGCTACCTACCATATCTAACCTCTCACTCATAATTCTGCTCTGTTGTTCAGTGTACAGGAAGCGCAACACATCAGGGGCATGACGTTAGAAACATGATACAGAGTGATAAACTGAGTGCAAAATGATTTTGCTGGACGACAACAGGGCTGAAAGAGTGAACAAAGCCTGAAAAGTTTCATAGTGGAAGGTGAAGGGCCGGCTTACAAGGTGGCTGATTGGCAATGAGTGGCAGAAAGGAGGAGAGAGGAGGGAAATTGGATAATAAAGACAAGTAGAGGAGGAGTAATAATTCTGATGAGCCTACTGTGAGCTGATGAGCCCTTGAGGATGGATAATGGCGAGGGATAAAGAGTTGCTGTGAGAGCTGTTAGCTCAGAGCCAAAAAAGTTTCCTTTGAGGTAAGCAGGATGAAGAGGCACGCCCTTTCATACTGCAAGGAAGATGACTATAAACTCTTTGTATCATTAGTAAAGTTTGCTGGAGAAAAGTTTGTTTGTGACACAGCAATCCTAAACCGTGACCTATGATCACAACTCTTAAAAACGCACTGTTTTCTGTAGTATCATTCAAAAATCATTCATTTACATGTAGTTTTTTCTTGAAGTCATGCATTAATAAAACAACAAACAGAAGAAAAAAAACACACGCCAATACTTCCCAAATGGATTTCTCATCAAAGCCTCCCTGAATTAATGTTTTAGAGTGTTATTAGCGCGTGTTTCTCTGTAATGAAATCGAAACATTCCTCACTCGCATCTCCTCTTCAGCCGCAAACAAGACTGAACCAATCAATCAGCGCCGAGTACAGTCACTCCAACTACAAAGTGGTGAGTGATGTTTACGGGTAATTGGCCAAAGCAGTTAAGGAAGGTAAATATAGATTTTCCCTACGCTATAAAAACATGAAGAGTATCTAAGAAAAAGTCAGCATGAGTGAAGTTTCAAAAGGCTTGATTTACATTTTGATTTTCAATGATTTCTTTTCCTCCTGTCTCGTCTTACCAAACTTGGGAAAAATACACAAATCCAATTAGTGTAGCGCAGGAATTGATGAAAGTCAAAGTAAAGGGTAGAATTATACAAACGAATACCCTTTACCTTAATGAAAGTATTGACAGAATATAAAAAAAGGAGAAAAAAAACAATACACTTACACTCTTTTCAGGCTACCTCAAGAGACAAAATATTCTCCCCTAAAAAGAAAGTCAGATTAAACTTCCTAATTAATTCATTTCTCTCCATATCAAAGGCTATCATGGACAAAGTTCAAGGCCGCTTATGCACAGGCTTCAAAAGGAAATGTGGTCGGATGAGGCAACGGTGACATCAGAACAAGCGACTTTTTATTTGGAATATCACAGTTCATCAACCCACGGTTTGGAAACTTAGAGGAACTGATGTGAAAGTGTGTCTACAGTGGACTACGGTCTGATAACATAGTCATGTTAGAGACATTAGCTGCATGTGTTAGGAGGGGGAACACAAATTTGAAGATGTAAAACCAATTTGAGAAAGTTTGTAATCCCACAGACCTCCCTATCTCTCTCTCTCACTTCCTCCGGCCATTACCTGATCTCCTTCATAAGAAACAGATTGGTTTCTAGCCGTCTGCCAAAAACTGTACACCTTGTAAAATAATCTTTTCCGTTTTCTTTTTTGTGTTACTTCTGCATGCACAGCAAAATGGTCTCCCTCAAAGAATTACCTCACTCCCAGGATGAAAGGGCTGCTGCTGTGTCGTATTTCAGACAGCAGGTGGCAGCAGTGGGCTGCGTTTTGTCATCATACTGTGCAGGATGTTAATAAAAAGGAACCCAAGGCAGGAGTGTGGTACAACAGAGAACATTTCTGGTGGATTATTTAAAAAAGCCAATAAAGTAAAATGCCTTTGAGTGTATAACCATAGTTGGTAAACAGTACATTCACATATGGAATAGTGCTTTGGCAGTATATGCTTAAGTCCATGGTACTACCTATACTTCCCAGTATAAACTGACAAATCTAAAGAAGGCAAGTGATGTCGTGAACCTCACAGCGGAGTCGTTCTGTCACCAAAACAACGTTGTCAGACCTCCTGCCACCCACCAACACTGACACCACCACTGAGCAGGAGAAGCTGTCACCTGTGCAGATGCCACAGCTGCCAGCGTGCTACAATGCACTCACCTGTCGAGCCTGCCATTGGCAACTCTTAATCACCTCCCGCTGAGGTGACTCACTTTGGAGCGTGCCAAACACACACACACACACACACACACACACGCACAGGGCCGCACACACTCGCGCTCACAAACAAGCCTAATCAAATGTGCTTGTGTGCAAACACAAATGTGCACACGCAAGCACAAACACACACAGATATGCATACTACACACACACGCACAGGTGTGTATCCCATTGCACCTCGTTGCCACACACACGAGGAAGCTAAGGGGAAAAAAAATAACCACCTAAAAGCCCTCATCAGGATCTGGACTGTGACAAGACTTGTGCACAAATTAGGTGAAATTTGAGTGGGAATAACAATATGACAGCCGGCAGTGAGGCACCAAACATCAAGTGTCATATCTATTTTCAGCTATGACTCAGAGCTGTGTGACAAACAATACCATGCTGCTTCTCAATCAGTCAGCCCGTCGGCTGGAAATGTGGCAAACTAGGCCCTGGATGAATTTTTCCCTTCAGGAAAAATAAGAAATGATCTGAGGTTGAGGTCAAAGTTAAAGGTGAAATTATAAAACTTAGCCACGATTCAAGCATTGCATTTAATGATTAGGAACTCAAGCAATCGCAGCGTTGTCTCTCCAGTGCACTACGGTAATTCATCCCATGATTCTTGAGGGCATTAGCCTCCATGCTGCTTTTATTAAGGACCACACCCTGAACCAGTGCTCGACAAACTCCCACGTCACTAGACTAGCAAGGCCCCACGTGCATTAACGATGGAACACAAGAGAGATGAAAAAAAAGTGGCTGGGCCTTCTCGAGATGCTATAAAATTAATGCGATTTCCAGAGTTTTTATGAATCAAGCCAGATGCCAAATACATAACTTCAAACAAATTGACTTCCAATTATTGGTGCGGCGCACCACTTCCAGATGTGCAACAGATGGGGCCGGGGCGACCAAAGGTGTCTCAACCCGCGCTTTGTGTTATTCTGCAGTAAAACGGCAGTACAGTTGTATGTGTTTTAAATCACCGTGGGCTGTGGGCTGGAGGTGAAGGGAAGGACAGGGGGGATAGCGGAGGAAAAATGAAAGCACATCATTAGGAAAATGTAAATCTACACAGCACCAGACAGTAGAGCTCCATATGTAGCACTAATACAGCCTGATATTATGTAAAGGCAGATGAGATGCTGGGGCTGAAAGCTGGAGCTGTATCAAGGAGGTGGGGGATTCAGAAATGTAAATGTTAATGTGATCTCTGCTGTATCTTCCAGTGCTGGGATTAAATGGTAAAAAGGAACAATTATGGGGCTCGCTTTTTTTGTGCATATGTTAATAGCTTACAATATCCTTGCATGCATAAAGTACATTAGATATGATTAGAAGATATCCACAATACATAGCTTTATATACTAGAAGGTTTTACAATTGTCATAAGAAGCACTGCACTCTGCTCACTTGTTAATGAAGTCTCTTCTTGGAAACTTTAAATAATTTGATTAGTCACTGTTAAAGCTACATAAAAGTAAAACAAATGTGTTTCTGAGTGAGAAAAGTAGCTGAGCACAGACTTCTTTTCACTGCAAGGGAAACTAATAGAATATCCAATAGTGGTACGGTGTCCTGGGAGGGTCATGGCTCTGATCCCATTATTACCAGAGACTCGGGCCCTGAGGGAGCCAAAATGGCTGTGTATTTTTCCCAGAGCCCATACTGAAGCAGTCTACTGAGGCCCTATCTACTTAACTAGCAGTCTGCCTGGGCACCACAGGTCCACCACCCCCCCACCCCCCCCCCCCCCCCCCCCCCTCCCGGGGGGAAAAAAACCCCCCCCCCCCCCCCTCTTTTTCCTATTTTCTATTAAAAAAAAAAAAGGGGGGGTTTTTCCCTCTCCCCCCTCTCTTCCCCCTTTTTTCCTCCCCCTCCCTCTTATTTTTATATTATAACCAAACCCCCCCCCCCCCCCCCCCCCCCCCCCCCCCCCCCCCCCCCCCCCCCCAAAACCAACCCCAACCCATTTTTTTTTTTTTTTTTTTATAAAGGAGGCTGGATGGAGGAAATATTAATAAAAAAAAAATGTAAAAAAAAACCCCCCCCCCCCCCCCCCCCCCCCCCCCCAACCCCCCCCCCCCCCCCCAAAAAAAAAAAAAAAAAAAAAAAAAAAAAAAAAAAAAAAAAAAAAAAAAAAAAAAATAATTTTTAATTTTTTTTTTTTTACGCATTGGTGAGGTGCAGGGGCAGCTGGGTAAATGTCAGATTTAGGCATGGGGGTGCAAGGTGGCGGGATGGTGGAGTTGAGATGGGCGTTGGGGGAGAGCATCAAGATGATCATCATTAGCAGGGGAAGATAATTGGCGCTGCGTGGGCCCCTGAGTATGGCCGCTCTGATGGGCATCTTGTCTGCATTATTCATTCATCTTCCTTCTCTCTCTTTTATTCTCTCTCTCCTGTTCCCTCTCTCTCGACCCAGGCCAGGCGGTGGGCCTTAGGAGCCGGACTCATCTATTATAGATGGGTAATTGTTTATTAAATGCAGGCCTGACCCTATTATGCCTATTACCCATGTGCTGCACACCAGTGTGGCTGGCAAGCGTCTGTGTTTTTCCATATTCTAGAAGATCTGACAATCCCCTGTCGAGGACGTGAGGCCGCTTTGGCATGAGTAAGTGTCAGCATCCATGGCTG